CGCGTGTCTGAGCCGGACTTCTCATTGGTCAGCGGCTGATGTCACTAAGTATGCAGCCATCCCTCTCCTTCGAGCGGCGGGGGAGACACCTGTTCTGTGAGGGACAACTTGTTAAAGGGTCAGTGGTTCAGCCTCCTACCCCAAGAAGGAAAGCATCCAGGCTGCAGCTGCTGAAGGGAAAAAGAATGAGGAGAAAGAATGCACACTGCGCCCCACACCCACGTCCTCCACCCAGCTGCCGTGCACATAAGCAGACTTACGTACATTGAATTCAACAAGTACGCACACCGTGTGTCGAGCAATGTGCTGAAAGCTGTCGAAACACAAGAGAACAGAGGTAATCCCCAGGAAGTGACAATAAAATCGGGGAGACAAAAAGAACCTACACATTACAGTTGCAGAATATTTAAGAGTAGATGCAATCCTGTTCAGTAACTACATAGTTTAAATGCTTTATAACAAAATTTAATTTGCCATAGGATATGTGCGCTCGCTGTGGAGACAGAGAAAGAAAGAAAGTGAAACGGACCAAGTGAGAAAGCACCTCCCATCCAAGGGGCAGGAACTCGATGCAATCCCTTCTCCTCTGTACTCCTCTTAGGATTTGGGGCAGTCATGGCTTGGTTTTCAAGCTGGGGGTCCAGGGCCGCATCATCAGCCGCCTTAGCCATCTGGATGGCCCTACGTACTTATTTCAAAAAGTCTATAGCCCAGGTGGTATGGTAGTTTAGGATACTGGACTCCCACTTGTACAACCGAAGTTTGAGTCCTGTACCTGGTAGCTTGCTATCTCATTTTCTCTCTCTGTGTATGTCTCTCTCTCGTCAAATTAAAATAAATAAATAAAGATAAATAAAGTAATTATTTTTAAAATAATTGTTTATTTTTATTTATTCATTCATTTATTTTAATTTGACCAGAGAGAGAAAGAAATTGTGAGAAAGCAAGCCACCAGGTCCAGGATTTGAACCATGGTCGGCCATGTGGGAGTGTCCAGCGTCTTCACCACGCCACCTGCTGGTCCCCTAAAGTAATTATTTTTAAAAAGTCTATAACCCTTGGGGCCAACAGCTGGTATGGTTGTTAAGGCTCTAGACTCCCGTGTGGCTAACAGTGGTTCTAGTCTTGGACCTGGTGGCTTAACCTGCATATCTGCTATACTAAGTCTCATCCTCCCCTAATTTCGCTTGCCAAGATGCCTTCACTAACCCTCCACCAAATGTATTATCATTGTTTGGGCAGTTATCATATTTCCATACTGGGTTTTATGTTCTATTAAAACAAAACACTACTGCATTTAGTGAGTCCTTCCCTGTGCCAGCTGTGTAAGTGATCTTACATGCGTTATCTCACTTAATCCTCATAGCAACATCCTGGCTAGGACTCTTCCCATTTCATGATAAACAGAGGCTCAGAGAGATTAAACGACTTGCCCCAAGTCATGCAGCTAATGATGCTGGAATCAAGTCCCTTCCTGAGGTTCCTATTATTTATTATTATTATGGTAGCCAGCACAGTCTCAACCACCAGCACTGCACTCAACCTGTGTGTGTCAGGTCAGCAAGTTCAAAATGGCGTCTGCATGTAGACCAAAACTCTGAGAAGACAGGGAGAGGGAATGAGACGGTAACAAATTGGGATGGGAGGATTGTCAGTAATATTTCCAATTTTTTTTTTTTTTGGAGAGGTTTTTACTATAGGGTGCGTGCACTTGCCAGACAGACAGAGAGAGAGACAGAGAGAAAGAAACCGAGAAATCACACCCCAGGGGGGATGGCCACGCCACAATCCCTTCTCCTCCATTCTCCTCTCGGGATCTTGGGCACACACGCACACGCGCCCGGCCTGAGTTTTAAGCCACCGGGTCTGGGATGCAAACCGCGGTCGACTACATCAGAGTCCAGCGACATAACCATTATGCTAACTGCTGGTCCCAATAGTTCCAAATTTTCACTATTGGGTTATATACTTTTTTAAAAAAAGAAAGAATTATTTAATTTTATTTATCATTATTTTTTACTTTCCTACCAGGCACACTCTCACTAGAAAGAGAGAGAGAGAAAGCAAGCCACCAGACTCCAACTGGGGAAAAAAGGGTTACCTGAAGCCTGGAGGTACAAAAGCATACCACGTGTTTAGTGAAAAATAAGCGTAGAGCTTTGGGTGGAAGAGTGTGTTTACCACCGTAGTGGAAGATAACAATGACCAATGCTGAATTCGGCAGATCTTGGGGGAGATCTTGAGCATGATACTGCAAACTAATTGATTTGCAAATAAGTTTTGAAAAAGGAAATGACGTAAGACCTAATTTTGGTTAGAGTTGGAAAGAGGCTGGAGAGAGAAAAGTTTGTTGGGAGTCCACCACGCATAGTCCAGATAATTAGTTGACGTCTGACGGTGGAGTAAGAGGCAGAATAATAGATTGATAGGGGAGCATAGGTCTGAAGCCTCTGGAAAAACAGAATCTCTAGAGCTCAGCTATGGTGGTGGTAGAGGTGACAGAAGCATCAGACGAGAAGATAGAAAAAGGGAGCCAAGGTCAGGTTACTGGGAGATTGGCCATTAATGGGATAGGTGACCAGTTTTAGTGTGAAGGAGGGAGGGTAAGAAGAAGGTTTGTTTTGTTTGTTTTGTTTGAAATTTGCTATAAGGTACATCCTCTCTCTAGAGAGAAACCCCCCACAGGGGATGGCCACTCTGGATTTCGGGCACACAGCTGCCAGGTCTGGTACTTGACCAGGTCTGGTCGCTTTAACCACAGTGCCACCAGCTGGCCAGCAGACGTTTTTTTACAAAAGGTTAAGAAGTGAAGGGGTGGGGCCCACAGATGGCATGGTGTTTAAGACATTGGACTCCCACATGGCTGACTATGGTTCAAGTCCCAGACCTGGCAGCTTGCTTTCTCACTTTCCATTTCTCAATCTCTCTCTCTCTCTCTCTCTCTGGTCAAATTTTAAAAATAACAATAGCAGGGGACCAGCAGGTGGCATGGTGGTTAAGGCGCTGGACACTCCCACATAGCTGATCATGGTTTGAGTCCCGGACCGGGTGGCTTACTTTCTCATCTTCTCTCTCTCTCTTTCTCTCTCTCTGGTCAAATTAAAAAATAAATGAATGAGGTGAACTGGACTGGTGAGAAATGTACACATGTTGGAAGATTCACTTTATAACTGGAGTGAAGGGAAAGTTCTCTTTTGGCAGATGGCAGGCCTGAGATGTTTGTAGTGGAGACAAAAAGCCAGTAAAACTGTGCTGAGGTGAACAATGGGTGTGACAAGCTTTTGGAGTTAACAGGTAGAAATGGGACCAGAGTGAAAGTGATGACCACATGTCCATCGTGTGGAAGTCCAGGATGGCACCCGTGCAGTAGGATGCCAGCGGCCATCGAACAAAGAATGAACTTTCCATGTACGGAGGTGGAAGGACCTCTAAGACATGATATGAAAAAAGCAAAATGTGCAACAATGTACCTAATGTACTATATTCTGCTTAAAAGGGGAGAGAGAAAGACAAAAATAAAAAATGACATTTGTTTTTGCTTGCTCCTGTCTAAATAAACTCTGGAAGGATATAGAAGACACTAAGAAAGGACGTTACCTACTAGAGAACTGAGAAGAGAAAAGAGATTTTTAAAAATTTTACTGTGAGCCTTTTTATTTTTTATTTTCTTATTTTTGTGGCATAAAGTATATTAACTATTTAAAATGGAAACTTTATAAAAATTCAGAATAGAAGTTAAAATTTTTGAAAAATTATTCCTCATTATGGAACATTATGCAGCCATTTAAAGTAACAGAAAATATGGGGCCAGCAAGCAGAGTGGTGGTTAGGCGCTGGACTCCCACATGGTTGACGATGGGTCAACTCCCGGTCCTGGCAGCTTACTCTCTCACTTTCCCTCTCCCTCTGTTTCTCAATGCTGAACACACGTGCCCTATAGCAAATTTAAAATAACAATAACAATAATAATAATAATTAATTAAATAAATAATTGTTTTTACAAAATTTTAGTAATATAGAAAATACATACACTAACTTGGGGAAAAGTCTACAGTACAAGAAGTACAAATAATAGCTTGTACACAAAATAATGATAAATGTTTGAACGGTGAATGTTAGTGCGATGACTGTATCATTACACGTTGTATTCGTTTACTGAAAAACCACTGTGCCCCATAAACATCCACAATTATTTTATGGCAATTAAACATTATAATGATAAACCAGATTATAGAATAAAGAATATAATTATCTGATCAACAGGGAATAATTTCAGTTTATTTCAGGTCCCGAGACGGTGTTTCAATTCTTTGGAATATACGATGTGGCCATTTAAAATGGAACTCCAAAAGAATATTTAAAGATAAGTAAAATTTGGGGATGAGCAGATGAAGTAATGGTTACATCACTGGATTCCTACATAGTCGCCAGTGGTTTGAGTCCCAGTCTGGGTGGCTTAAAACAGGCTGGGCATGTGTGCATGCATGCCCAAAATCCAGAGGGGAGTATAGAGGAGAAAGGGTTGTGAAACGGCCATCTCCCCAGGGGGTGATTTCTCGCTTTCTGTCTCTCTGGTGAGCACATGCACCCTATAGCAAAAATCTCTTGAAAAAAAGAAAAAAGATAAGTAAAATTTTAACAATATAAGCTTTTTCTTTTTCTTTTTTTAGTTTTGCTACAGTGCATATGCAC